ACGCTTTATGTAAAAGTACACGTCTCTATAAATCATGTTCCACTCCCGCCGGAAATAAACGGAAGAAAACAATTAACACCGCATTCGCTTCTCAACACGTTCCACTAAAAAACCGTGTCTCAGATTTTTGACAAGTGCGTTTGTTTTTCTTTTATCAGCAAATGAAGTTGGGGAAGGCAATTAGTCAACACTCCCTGTGGAAAAAAAGCTTTAGCTTTAAAATGAAAAGGAGTATTAAAATTCGCAGACACGGTTTTGTAGAAGAGATATATGGCATCACTCTGGCCAAATTTTAGCCAAATTGATTGAAAGGCTGCCGACTTGGAGTTCAAAACGTACGAGTCAATCGGCAAAATTTGCGTTCGGAGATAAAATAGAAAATACATTTTCGGTGGCATCCTACCTGGAATGAGATAATAACACCTAAATGTTTATTCTGATTGATATCAGAGAGGGATCAATTTTCTCTAACAATAGGACTTTGACAGGTAACATGTAACAGGAACAAACTTTCGCGGCAAGCAAGTGAACAGTTTAAGAGGCCCTGCGCCTAAGAAACGACCGATGATTTCCGGCTAAAAAATAAAATCGGCCGATTTTTATCTCCCAAGTAGAGGTTACCGAATACTATTCAAAAATGAATTTCTTTTGTTTCAGTTTCGCTTTAAACCAAAAATATCGAGCCGCAAACTTTTTCCGTCTGATAGCAGCAAAATCAGGCTTAAAATAAGCCCTCGCAAAAAACGGTTCAGAAATCACTATCGCAACGCAAAATAGCGAGAAAACCACACAGTGATGAAGAAAAAGGCCTTTTAATGCAATATCATTCGATAAACATCGAAAAACTGTCGAAGGGAATAAAAAATAAATTTTCAAAAATTGCATATTAAATTAGATGAAGCGTTGGAGTCGATTTTAAAACAACAATTTATCAAAAGTCCAACGCTGCTGAAAGCAATCACAGTGATGAATCAGACATTGGAGGGATATACATCACGTTTTCGGAAAAACATTTTTCGGCCAAAGTATACTGACGTTGTAAAAACCGTTCAAAGTTACCGTATTTACCGTTAAGTTGCCACTTCGGCGAAACACTTCTCTGTTGCCAATATGGCCAAGGATAGCGTGGTAAACGCTACTTTAAGCCTTGCTAGGCGCTCAAAACCATCCTAAATAGAAGTATATAGAATTAAAAGAGAAAGGAAAATGAAAGATTCGCAGAAAAAGAGAATAACTCGAAATTACCATCTGCTAAGGAGAGTTGAATCTTGGAAATGTTGTCGCGTGACAGCGTTCATTTGTCCGAACTGCGGCGGGATCCAAACAAATACGTGAAATATAAGTTAAAAAAAACAGTCCTACTATGACCAGAAATCGTGAAGTGAAACAGTTTTATGTTTTTCCTATTAATGATGGTGAATTTAGCCTCAGCTAGTCTCCAAGTACTTTGAAGGTGGGCTGCTTGTATTTCGTTACATACATTCCAACGGACGTTACGGGTCAGCGCGTGTAGGGGTCAGCGGACCTGAAGAAAGGTGACGAAGTTGGAGAGCCGGCAACGCCATGCTAGGGGGGACATTGGTAGGTACCCAATACCGAAAATAAATGCCGTATCGGTATTTCGTCGATTTTTGACACGGTATTTCGGTATTTACCAATTTTTCTCACGGTATTGCGGTATTTAATCAATTTAATTTAATTCAGGAAATGATGGGCTCCTGTTTAATTTTGCGAGGAAACGTGAGACGACCTCGAACTGATCGGTACAACGAACGAAAAAGATACCCTACCAATTTCATCACAGATTATCTGTCAGAAATTGTGTAATGGTAATCATTTACCATTAATCTAAAGTCTTAAAAATACTGACGTGCATTAAACTAGCCTGCGTAGCAGGCGCTTGGAAGTAGTGGGCGCGAGAGAGAACGGGCGCGCGTGAGGGAGACACGCGAGGGGTCATCCAAACGCCTGCTACGCAGGCTAGCATGAAACAGGAGAGGGCAATGAACAGTACCGCAATACCGTGACCTTCTTTTACCGAAGACCGTTAACCAAAAGGAAGAAATACCGCATACCGCAGGGCTAAATGATATTACCGCAATACCCCACTTTAAAATCCAAATTACCGAAATACCGCATGAAAAAAAGCTCAATACCGTAAGCCCCCATTTCCCCCTCCATGCTGTTGAAGAGGTGATAGAATATTTGGGCTTAAAACATCCAATTATATTTGACGTTTACAATCTTTGTCATAATTATCACAGCAACAAACTTTCATCTTTCAATGTTAGTGTTGAAAGACATGTGCGGGTATTTCGAAATACCTTACAAATCTACAGATCTAAAAAGAGACCTTTTAGCCAAGGTTTCAGTGTAAAGGAATGTGACTGAGTGCAGCAAAAAATAATTTCATTCTGTAACTTTCCTGCGCAAGAGTTTGAGTGCATGGTATGCTGTCCAATCGATAATGTGACAAGTTGTGCGTTGTGCATTGGTTATCATCTCAATATCATAAATATTATTGTGGAAACAAATTATGAAGCATATTATAAAATGAAGTTGCAAAATTTGTGAGGCACTTTCATCGATTTAAAAGTCTTACCGGTCTCCTATATTTTTTTATGATGTCCTCCCCAATATTTTGGTGACCCTATTCGGCGGAATGGCGGAATACATGGAATCAGTTGTAAAATATGGAATATACGTAATACTCTAAAACACTGAATTTACAGAATATTCTGTATTTGATTTGAACTGGACTGACGAAAAAGCAGAGGCAATATTAAAAATTCAATTTTCGTACTGCCTTAAGCCACACTATAGACCTTATGACGGTTTTGAAAGCCATATTGACGGGGGAAGGGTCCGGTATCACGGGAATCTAATGTCGGATAACTTTCATAAAACGGCTGTTCTAAAAAAAAAGAATTGTAAACTTAAGCGTGACAGGATTGTACTATAGCTACCAATTAATGGGGGCCGCACCTGTGCCTAAATTTGTCCGGTCGCTTGCTTTACATTTTCCAGAGTCTTCAAAGTCTTCAAAGGAATGATCTCTTCTTCAAATTTTGTGGAGATTGCTCGGCTGGTCGTTCTGGCGAGGAAGGATCCAGGGACAACAAGTCCGTTTTCCAGTCTCCTTGATCCATTACCTTAATCGACTTGCACTTTGTTTTGAGTGCGAGCTTTTTTAAGAAAGGTGAATATAAGGAAGGAAAGTTCCATCGACAAAGTGCCCAACAAGTTTCAAGGTAAGTCCCTCGCTGAGCATTCACCGTTAGTATTTGTTACTACTACAGTTTCAAGTGTTGTTCGTTTTTAAATAAATATCAAAGTTCTTTTTTTAACATTTGGTTGTTTCTCAAAAAAGAAATAAGCGCCCTGTCCCGAATAAGCGTCCTCCCTAGAGGCACCAAAAGTAAATAAGCGCCTGGGCGCTAAATCGAATCATTACGGTAAGTCAATTCTTTTACTTGTCACGCGCTTAAAACATGGTTCGAGTTAATGAGGGTAAAATTATATAGAAATGATCTGAAGAGAAACAAAAATTAGTATTACTTCGAGTTAGCACGAGGTTTGAGTCAGTAGCTAGGGTTCGAGTTATTGGAGTCGACTGTATACATGTATACCCTTTTTAAACGATTTTTCTCTTACTAATATACATAGATATAGATAGATAGATAGATAGATAGATAGATAGATTCTGCGTTTTAGAGTATTCCGTATATTCCGCATTTTAGAATATTCCATGTATTCCATCATTCCGTTCCGTCATTCCGTCCGTCCGCCATTCCACCGAATAGCGTCACCCCCGATATTTTCATGTCCAAGAAAATACTAAACGCGAGGCTAATCATTGTGCCAAGAATTGAATCTGTTAGCTACATTTTATATCGCCAGATAATAGTCCTTTGAGAAAAAAAACCGTAATTCTTGGGCGTAATGAACTCAGTTGAAGGAAGACATTGGACATTGACATGAATGATTCTCGCCCGAAAAAAAAACATGGGATCAGATTTCTTTCAATAGACCGCTGGCCAGAAGCGTCGACTCGTGACCCCACAACGATCAGATCACGCTGAGGCCAAAACGGTGCGGCGGTTCGGGAATTTTTTCTTTTCAAGTCACCATCGCTTGGGAAAAAATAACATTACTGTAACATTGTTTCACTAAGTGCTTTCTGGCCGGGAAAAAGTTGTGCATTCGTTTAGATTCCGCCGCAGTTTAGACAAATGACGTCATTGGCCGCTGTCACGCGACGACATTTTCCAGATTCAAGTTTCGTCAGCAGATGGTAATTTCGAGTTCTTTTCTTTTTCTGCCTATTTTTCATCTTCCTTTCTCTTTTAATTCTATGTTCTTCTACTTAGGATCGTCTCTGAGCGCCTAGCAAGGATTAAAGTGGCGTTTACCACGCTATCCACGGCCGTATTGGCAACAGAGAAGTGTTTCGCCGAAGTAGCAAGATAACGGTAAACACTGCAACTTTGAACGCTTTGTACAACGTCAATATACTTTGGCCGAAAAATGTTTTTCCAGAATCGTAATGTATATCCCTCCAATGTCTGATTCATCACTGTGATTGCTTTCAACAGCGTTGGACTTTTGAGAAATTGTTGTTTTAAAATCAACTCCAACGCTTCATCTAATTTAATATGCAATATTTGAAAATTTATTTTTTATTCCCTTTGGCAGTTTTTCGATGTTTATCGAATGATATTGCATTAAAAGGCCTTTTTCTTCATCACTGTGTGGTTTTCTCGCTATTTTGCGTTGCGATAGTGATTTCTGAACCGTTTTTTGCGAGGGCTTATTTTAGGCCTGATTTTGCTGCTATCAGACGAAAAAAGTTTGCGGCTCGATATTTTTGGTTTAAAGCGAAACTGAAACAAAAGAAATTCATTTTTGAATAGTATTCGGTAACCTCTACTTGGGAGATAAAAATCGGCCGATTTTATTTTTCTGCCGGAAATCATCGGTCGTTTCTTAGGCGCAGGGCCTCTTAATTCTCCGTTGGAAAACTTCCACTCTTTTACACCACGAGAAGCACGGTTTAATTCTTTCTCGAGCAAAATTTTTGCCTCTCCTTCGATCTTTTTTGTATGATCCGCCCAGGCATTTTTGTTGATCGGCTCCAGGCCAAGGAAACTAAAAAACTTTGAAGCCGGCGAATGTCCACCACCGATTGCTCGAAGGCCAAGAACTGAGGCCCGGTTTATTTCAAACGCTCTGCTCTTCTCGGAAGAATTAAAAACAAAATTTGTCTTGTGCGACGGACAGCTTTCATTCTCGCACTGGATTCTCCAGGTAGAACCAAGTCCATGCTTAGTCGCTACATTGTCCATGACTTGGACTCTTCCCTGGCAAAATCGACAAGATACAGACTCGTCCAGTTTCTCAAGCAGCTTTTCTCTCGATACGATAGCGCGACCGCTTATTGTTTTCCACGTTCCATCAGCAGATGGGGTCGATGAGCTTCATTGGCTTTCTTCATCTGGTTCTTCAAGCTGGATTTTGGAGCAGCTTGCACTCTCAGTAACTGCAGCATTTTCGCTTTTCTGAATATCCAACTCCTCGAGCCACTTCTCTTGCTGATAAAATGAGCCCTTATCGCTCTCTGCTAATTTTGCGGCCCATTCTTTGTCAAACTCACTCTTCGATTTCTTTTTCGCTCTCGGTTTCGATGACGAAAACGGACACGACCCTTTTTTTTTTGGCGGCATTTTTACCGAAGCAAACGCTAAATATCCACGGAGAATAATAATAAAGGCTATAAACAACCCGAAGACAATTTGCACGTGTTGTGTCGAAGCACGCACTCAGTATCACGTTACTAGTTCACAGGCAAGTTAATTGATATATGACACGGTTATGACAGATCTTGTCAACGATCAATAAAGATAATTAACGAGAAAAAATCTTTTACCCGCGATATCTTTCGACAGAAATAATATTTTCTTCTGATTTTTTTTTTAAAAGAAAGCTCTCAAGCATACCTATTTGAAAACGTTGAAACCTCAAATATGGGAAAATGGCAATTTTAAGGGTGGCTGATACCTTAAGTAAATTGACGGTGAAATTGGAGGCCCTGCAGGGTGTTTAGTAGTTCTTTTTTTTTTTGCCTAAGACAAAACAAATCTTAAGGGACTTCCGCGAATAAAAATTATTTAATATTTAGGGAATAAAATTATAAAGGGATCTAGCTATGCCAAGGGATCGGTGTAAACCGCTCAGATGCGTTAAGGTTATATGTTGTAGCCTTGCTTTTTTAACATTTTTCTAAGGCCGATGAGGAAAAATATTAATCGAATGATATTTTAACTTCTTCCTGTTCCTATAAATCACAACAAAAGAATAAATATAAAACGCGTTTGATTTTCTCGCTGTTTGGCTGTAGGGAAATAGGACTTAGGTCAGCTAGCATGAGTCATTTCTCATTGTCTCCAGGGGCACTATTAACAAAAAAGATGTCGCTTCGGCCCGTGTTCGTGTTCGTTAACTTCAAAGCCATTTTTTGTTTGATATTTGCGGTAACTCTCGCTAAATACGTGTATTCTCAAAATCTATACACGGCTATGTTAGATGAGACCAGGAATACGTTGATGTCATTTTCTTCGGGCAGTTCTACACCAAGTCCAACTCCTTCACCAAAAACCCGTGTCAGGGCACACGTGGTTCATCGCTTGTTGTCTGGTAAGTCGTCCCTTAGTATTCCGTGCCTTATTTCCTTTTTTCGACTGCATGCATCAGAGCTGTCAGTGATCTTCTTTGCGTAAAGGCCTTTAGCAGAAGATGGAAACAATGTGCCGTCCCATTATGGCTGTTGGCTCTTCACGCCCAAACGTAACCGCGATCAGCTGCTAATCAACGACAATCCTTAACTAGCGCGAAATTGCCGATAGTGAAAGTCATAGGAACGAACGCCGAAAAAAAACATAAATACTATATTCTGGGTAAGTTACCTTTGAAGCGATACATCTCACCCTGACATCTAAGACTCGCGTCCCTTCAGGAGGTCCAAGTTTTATGCCAAGGAATAGAACATTTCAAGAAAAAAAAACTGCTTATTAATTAATTCTTTCAAGAAAACTTTGGCTGTCTTATCGACAGCTTGTCAACCAGAAGCACTCAGAAGGAAAAATCAAAGAAAGAATATCGTCAACTCGTCGGAACGTTGTTTAGAAAATAATCAAATGGTTAACAACTATGGTTTTCCCACAGTAAATTGTGGGAAATGATAGAAATTCATATTGTTTATCCATTTTAAAATATTTAATATACTATCTTTTCTCTGGAAACACAATACTTTTCTTGCTGTTTATTACACTTTTTTAAATAACAGTTATGTATTAAGGTATATATTTATAGAAAAACAAGAAACAAAAACGGGGGGAAAAAAAGGAAAGAAGGAAGGAAGAAAGAAAGAACGGTCCTGAGCGAGACTCGAATCCGGCACCCGTTCGGCTCGGTTGCGACTTCACCTAACCGCTACACCACTAAAGCTGATTGTGGCATCTTAGTGAAAACTATTTTATTTAATGTCTTTCCCATGGAAAATCCGCTGGCATATGATCTAGTTGCATAAACAGAGCTAGTGACAATTAAAAGAAAAAAATACAGTGTAAACGCTTTTCAAGGCAATGAATGAACGAAAGAACATACATTGTATGCTTTACAGAGCCGATACACCTCGTCTGCGAAGTACTACGCAAAACATATGTTTTCTTATCTCGATTTCCGCTGTTATTTTGACATCCATTTCTGGCTCATGCAGGTTCTTAAGAATAGCATGACATGATATTTTCTCACTTTCAGATCACTTTCCAGCAGGCTGGAATTTGTATATCCCCAGTGACCTTGCTAGCCTGAGAGCAAGCTCTCCTATTTGGGCGAGCGAAGCGAGTCTCGCGAGAACGCGCGAGCGAGCGGCGAGGCTTACTTCGCTCACCCAAACAGGAGAGCTTGCTCGCGGGCTATGACCTTGCGAAGTCGAAGAGCAAATGCTCATCTTCTCGTCAATCCAATCCCGAAGTTAACCATCGTACTCATCTGAAAGACTCCTGCGTCTCTTAAATTTGGTAAGACCACTAACCGTGGTGTAGAAAATTTGCCACAAAGGAAACTCTAAGTCTGAGCAGCGAACGATGCACGTTCTCATAAGAATTTGATCACACCGAACTTCGACGAGCGTGTGCTTCTTCGGAAACGATAGATCTTCCCACTCTAGAATTCGGACTACCACGAGTGATATTTCGAAATTGTTATACGTAATTTCACGAGCCGTTAGGTGAGTGAAATTTGAGGCAATTTTGAAATATCACTAGTGGTATTTATGCCAAATTTCAGGTACAAATCATGCTATTGTTTGTTTATACTACTACCCTCAAAAGGTTTGTAATTTTCACTGCTCTAAGCCAATAAAATTGCAGAAATTTCTCATGTAGTAGTATAAGTAGTTTAAGTCAATTGCTAATTGTGGTTGTTGAACAATTTGAACTGCCTTCCCTGATGCGTTTTGGCACCATTTAGTAAATATTGATCTTTGCTAAAACAACCCGGAACAAAATCATGGAGATTTATCACTTCCGCAGTTATTAGTGTAACTGTTTCAGCTTTAAAAGCGATTTGTTGGTATTAAGAATATTCCAATGTCCCCAAGATCTCCATAAGGTTAACAAGTCCTGACAAGTCGCCTTCGTGTGATTCAGGTTTCTGAAAACATCTATTTTCAAAACTGATTTAAAGATCAAATAGCAGATTTTCCGTATATTATTAACCAGCGTAGTAAATTTATGCCAAAACGGTCAAATTTTAACATGTTTAGTTTTCTCGCTGAGTTACAACTTACTATTTCCCTTACGGTGATTAAATAGTTTGGGAGCTCACTTATTTCCTTAAACACCAGGAGAAGCGATGGGGCGTCTGCGCGCCACTGCGTTAACTTCAAGGCGATCTTTTGTATTGCTTTATTCGCGATTTTGACCAACCTTTAGACTACAAGTAGTTCCCCATTTGTCCTCATGGATAGTAGAGCGAGCGAAACGCTAGCGCGCGTGAAAATCACCCCACCACGCGAGAAAGGCTAGACGCGGTGGGGAGAGAGAGGTATCACCTTATGATAAGTCTAAACTTGAACGCAACATAACCACTAACATATCCATAAAAATTAAAGAAAAATACTTAAGACTGAATTATCTAAGCAGTTCTTTCAGTTTCTCAGGCGTCAGTGGTATATTTGCCACATTGGATAAACCTGAACGTCCATTTTTTTTAACAAGTAAGTCATTTTTATGTGTTCGCTTTCATTTAGGCAGCAGACGTCGTCGCAGTCGGCCGGTATCACACCGGGTATCACACCCGGTATCATACCGGGTATCATACCGCTTGGCAGGTAAGCCGGTCTAAACTGATCACTAAAGGCAACTTAACTAACGTAACCACTAAATTATGGATAGTGAATACCCCTGACTAAATAATCAACACGACTACACTGCCGAAACTACATAGTATTAAAGAAGCGGTAAACTAATCCTTAGTTCATCGTTCAGACATCCCGGCGAACCAACAACCGGGTGGGGGTACTCGATATATCCCTGAGTAGGGAGGTGCAGCGCGGCCCCTCATACCCTGACCCTGTTTAAGACAAATATCGCTAATTTTCCTACCCTGTTTAAGACAGAATTCCGATTTTTGATACCCTGTTTAAGACATTTATCCTGTTTAAGACAAAAATTGACAAATCGACACCCTGATTAAGACAAAAAAGGATAAATTCGATACCCTGTTTCAGACAAAAATCCCCCAAAACATACCCTGGCTGGCCGCACGTCCCCCGGACCAACAATGACTAATACGCTATAAAATCCTAGGCATGGTTACTGACACTACAAATTTACAACAATAAACAGCTAAACACTGAGCTAAACACTGATTCCAGCAACTTCTGTCGAGAAGAACACAAACTTGTATTTACTTTTAAAAAGCCAGGAAATACCCATGGACGAATTTGGGCAGCCGACGCAATACAATCAAACAAAGGTTGAGTATATATACGAGAAATACCATGGCTTCGGAGACTTGCTTTCTAAGCTATTTCTGGGAAAGGACCAATCTTCTTACAAGTTACTAAGTGAATCTCCCTCTTAGCCTTGAAATATAAAATTTTCTTGCGTTGAGAAGTGCGACCGAATACTGACTCATGATTTTGAAAATCGGATCATTAAACTAAATGAATGAAATTCTCGAGTTTTGACTGGTTTTCCCACGTTTTAGTGTTCAACTACGCAAAGAACAGCGACTACACAAACTACCCAGAAACCACAGTAACTACATAAACTACAGTGACTACTCAAACTCTACTGGCAACTACACAAACTACAGTAACTACGTTACAGAAACTGCTCAAACTGTATACTGGCAACTATTCGGAAACTATACAAACTACAGCATCTATCGCAACTACACAAACTAAACAAACTACGCAAATTACAGCAACTACAGCAACTACAGAAACTACCGAGAAACCACAGCAACTACACAAACTACTGCAACTACTCAAACTACAGGCTAACACAAAAACTAAAGCAACTACAGAAACTACAAATTTAAATCTTACAGCAACAACAATAACTACACCAAATACAGCTGAAACTACTCAAACTACCGGCAACTACACAAAATGAGTGACTACAAAAACTACAACAACTACAGAAAATACAGTAACTACAGAAAATACACAAACTACAGCAACTACTCAAACTACAGCGACTCAACATAAAAACTAAAGCAAGTACTCAAACTACTGGGAACTACACAAACTACAGTGACTACACAAACTAAGGAAACTACAATCTAACTACAGCAACTACAGAAAGCACAGTAGCAACACCTGAAACTACAGCGCAATTACTCAAACTACTGGCAACTACACAAACTACAGAAACTGTAGCATCTAACATCAACTACACAAACTAAGGAAACTACGCAAACCACAGCAAGTACAGAAACTACAGAAACCACAGTAACTGAACAAACTAAAGCAACTACAGAAAATACAGTAACTACAGCAACTCCAGAAAATACAGTAACTACAGCAACTACAGAAAATACACAAACTGCAGTAAGCACACAAACTACGGTAACTCAACACAAACTAAGCAACTACTCAAACTAATGGCAACTACACAAGCTACATCGACTACACAGCGTACAGAACCTACTCAAACTACTGGCTGAGACATAAAGTACAGCAACTACACAAAGTACAGAAACTACTCAAACTACTGGCTAATACAAAAAATACAGCAATTACACAAAGTATAGAAACTACTCAAACTACTGGCTAATACACAAACTACAGCAACTACACAAAGTATAGAAACTACTCAAACCTACAGCAACTACACAGACTAAAGTTGTAACTACTCAAACTACAGTAACTACACAAACTTTAGTAATTACACAAACTACAGCAACTACAGACACTACTCAAACTACTGGCAACTCCACAAACTACAGTAACTCAGTACACAAACTACAGTTACTTCAGAAAATACAGTTATCATATAACTGCAGCAACTACAACAACTACCGTCAAATTACTGGCAACTACACCAGTACAGCAACTACACAAACTACAGTAACTACACAAAATACAGAAACTGCTCAAACTAATGGCACTAAAACAGCACTGAACTATAGAAACTAAAAACAGCAACTACACAATTTACAGTAATAACTCCCTACTCAAACTACAGAAACTACAGCAACTACACAAACTACGGAAACTACAGTAAATACAGAAACTACGGCAACTATAAACTACATAACCACTCAAACTACAGCAACTGCACAAACTACAGTAACTACTCAAACTAAAGTGCATGTAACTACTCAGACTACACCAACTACACAAATTACAGCATCTACTCGAATTACGGTAACTACTGACA